TATCACTTGTCATTTGCTGCCATGGACTGAATTGTGTCCCCCCCCACTCCCAAATGCTGAAGCCCTAAACCCCAACATGACTGTATTTGAAGACAGGGCTTTTAGGAGGTGATTAAGGTTAAGTGAGGTCATAAGGGTGGGGCCCTAACGCAACAGGATTAGTGTCCTTATAAGAAGAGGAAGAAATTCATTCTCTTAATCTTTCTTCCTCTCTCGCTCTCTCAATCTCTCTCCCTTTTTTCCTCTCTCCTCTCTCTTCTCTATTTTCCCCTTCCAATTGCCCACTTCCTTCCCACCCCTGCCCTGTGAGGACACAGTGAGAAGGCTGCTGTCAGCAAACCAGGAAGAGAGCCCTCACCAGAAACTGAATTCTGACAGACCCTGATCTCGGACCCCAGCCTCCAGAACTGGGAGGGCGTACATTTCCGTTGTTTAAGTCTATCCAGTCCATGGTACTTGTTACAGCAGCCCAAGCAGACGGCATTTCTCTAGCTAGAGGGAATTATTTTTCTCCTTAGAGGGGCAATAATGAAAGAAAAGGCTTGAGAAACACTGTCCTAGAGAATTCTTCATTTGAAAGGGCTGGGGTCTCACCAGAGAGTCTCTCCTTTCCCAGTTTAGAGTGGTGCTTCTCCACTGGCAATGACCATGCCCCCAGGGAACACACTGGGCTGTCACAAGTGGGGGGGGTGCTGCTGCCCACATCCAGTGGGGAGAGGCCGGGGACACTGCCAACACACTGCAGTGCACAGGACGGCTCCTGCCACAAAGAGCATTACCCCAGTCAAATGGCAATGGTGCTGCTGCTGAGAAACCCTGGTTTAGAGCAAAGGAAACTCTGGAAGGCTTCACATCCCACCACAAAGAGCCAGGAAGCCTGAGGCCTGGGGCCCTGTACTCAGGGGTCCCACGAGCAACTTCACCCTGGCCCCCTTTGAGCACCAGTGGTGACTCCAGGAAGAGCTCATCCCAGCCCCGACAGAGCTCCCAAGACTGGAAAGCGTCTCCCCCACCCCAGGGCCAGAGCAGGGGCAGGCTGCCCTGGGCCCACTGGCCACCCAAAGGCCAGAGGGAACCAGGCCAAGAAGAAAGAACCAAAAAAACTCTCTGGGCTCTTACGCACAGACTGCAGAGAGCAGTGCTGGAGCTCGGATGGGCCTTCTCGCTCCCCGGCAAGCCCAGGTAGGACAGGCTGGGAATCGGAGGCTCCCGCCTAGCGGGATGTGAGCAGTGGAGCCCTCGGGGAAGAGGGGGAACCCCGGAGCAGAATGGATGTGATATGAGGCACCGGCAACCATGGCTAACCGCTCCCACATGCGCAGTAGCACACTGAGCCCACCCTCAGACCTCAGGACCATCCCTCGAGGTAGGTACCCTCCCCGTCGCACAACTGAGGAAACTGAGGCACAGAGAGGTCCAGCCGCTTGCCCAAAGCAGAAGAGCTGGAAAGAAGGGCCCAGCCAGGCAGGATGGGTGACAAAATAGATGACTGATCCCGGGTTCTGGATTCAAGACCTACCCCATGGCAGGCTGATTCTAGGCAATTTCCATAAATGGTTCAGGCCGCGCCCAACCTGGTTTCCTTCCTACAGATGAGGAACCCAGGCTCAGAGGTGTTCAGGGGCCGGCTGGCAAGCGGATGCCTGAGCCAAGCCCCAGGTTCCATCTGCCGCCCCAGGGGACCAGAGCAGATCTGGCGAGGCCCCAGTGAGCCCACTCACCTGAGAAGATGGAAGCAAGCCTGAAGATGTCCGAGAGGCGGGCGGTCACCGGCTCGTAGGGGGAGGCCTCGTAAAACTCCTCACCTGGAAGAGAGAAGCACGTGAGACGCAGGCTCACAGGCTTCTCGGAGGGAAAGCGCGGCACGGGGCAGGTCAGGAATGGAATGCCGAACAGAGCAGGTCAGAATTGCCTGTATGTCTCTCTCATGACCTCCCTGCCCATCGGGCCCTCTGAGGACTTCTGAATGCTTCTGGAAAGAAGGCACAGGGGAGATAGCCCATGGAAGGCCAGATACAAGTCCCAGGATTTGAACCCAAAGGGCCTCCATAAACCTTCTGTACAACATCCTCATTTCACAGGAGATGGCCCAGAGAGGTGAAGCAACCTGCCTGAGGTCACACAGCAACTCAAGTCAGAGCTTGAGCTAGACTCTGGTTTCCCGGCCCCCACACCAGCACTCCCTCCCATCACACCAGGCTGGCCCTGCCCAAGCTAAGGGGACAGGATTTCCTTTTTGTTCTTTATCATGTCACCAAAAGGATCCGGGTTAAAGGTCTGCTGAGTGGAGGCCAGACCCTCTGCTCCTGTCTGACTGGTTCCCGGCTCCTGCACTCCCTACCTGCCTTTCCCACCACCTGCTGCTTCTCAGCCCTCTCCTGGGGGCCCTGGGGTGCACCGGACGCTCTGGAGGGCAGCGGAGGCTCAGGGAACAGAAAAGCAAGCTAGTGACAGGAGATAAATGGCACCAGGCTGCCCTGGAGACCCACCACCACCTCATCGGGACTCCCGCCCCCTCTGCCAGCGCCTCGGCAGGAAACGAAATATCCTCTCGAGACTGGATGGTGAGGAGAAATCGATGGATAATCACTCAGAATGTGTGTGTGTGAAAGGGACGGGGGAGACAGGTGATGACCCACAGCCTCACACATTGATTTCCTGTCCATCCAGGGCCCAGGGCCACAGGCAGGTAACCCCTGTGTAAAGAGGAACACATGTGGGGCAGCACCCATGGGGGCCACCGGCAGGAAGGTGCCGGCCTCGGGAAGAAGGGCCTTGGAACCTGCCTGCAAGGGACTCGTTCAGCCAGGCTCCTGAGGTCACCCAGAGGCTAGCCCTCGAGGCTCAGCCAGCCATCCACTGGTCCGCAGACCGGGCGTCTGTCTGCTAGAACCAGGCAGAGACCCGGAAGAGAGTACGGACCCCCAGAGAAGGGTCTGGCCCCCAGAGGACATGGAGGAAGAGCACTCCCCCTGGAGAAGTGGCCCCCGCTCTTCACTTCACCTCACAGGAGCAGCCTTATGCCCGGCCACACGCCGCACAGGGGGTGCCCACTGGTCCCTGCCGACTCACCTACTCCAAAGGTTATTCCTTCTTTCAGGCCTGTCTCCAATCCCACCTCCCCGCAGGACCTGCAGGGCCATCCCGGGCCTGTATGATCTCAGCATCCTCCACTCCACCCACCAGCCCTGGAGAAACTCCCCGGGGTGGGGTGACTAGCCAGGTTATCTGCTGGGGCCAAATAACACGAGAGCTTAGGAAGCCGTTCTGTAATGAAAATGATGTTAGATCGTGCTCTTTCCACGCCAGCACTGACGAAAGTGCTTTAGATGTACTAACTATGTAATCCTCTTAATTTCTCTAGAGGGTAGGCACTATTATTCTCCGTATTTTACTGATAAGGAACTGGGGCACAGAGACATTAAGTCACTTGCCTGAAGTCACACAGCTGGTAAGTGGCCGAGCCAGATTTCAAATCCAACCAATTGGCTCCAGAGTCCATTAAACATTAAAAATACTGACCCCCGAAATAAAAAGTGTTATTTTAAAACCAAGTTGCTCTTACACAAGCACAATTGCTGCTTAACTTCTCATACGTCAGTCTCCTGCCGGCTGGACTGCACCCCAGGGCAGAGCCTGTCTCTGTTCGTCTGTCCTGCATCTGGCGTGGCCCTGAGCCTGGGCACGGACAGGCTAGCGTGACTGACTGCGGCAGGAGGTGGGTCTCTGGGGAAAAGAGCCTCTTCCACGACTGGTTGGGAGGGGCCCATCCTATTTAAATGAACTCCTGTCGCCTGCCCTGGCAGTGGAATTCACCAGGGGGAGATCTGAGACCTGCCCAGCCACCAGGCTGAAGACAAATCTAGGATGTCAGATTCCGGGGCCATGACCTGAGAGATGACTCGTGGGAGAGGCTTTTGCTCTTCCCATCTGCAGGCCCAGGGTGACCCTGAACTTCAGTGTCACCTTTGGAGACAGCAAGAAGCCTGGTCTCAAGACCCCGTGCAGCCAACGGTGACAGCCGCACTGCGTAAATACTGATGGTTATGGTGGCAGTGATGGCAGAAGGGAAGACAGGCCCAAGGCCACAGCTCTCCCCCAGGGCAGCGGGAAGGGGCCTGGATGAGGAGTCAGGGCCCTGGCCCCACCACCAGCTTGCTTGCAGGAAGGCCCTGACCCGCCTCCTTGCACCTCAGCTTCCCCTCCAGAACGGGGGTGGGACCAGACGACCTCCAGGTCCTTGGCAGGTGGCACGGTCTAGGAGCTCAGCAGAGGCCACACTCCCGCCACGGCCAGCTCTGCCCACGTGCTGGGGTCCTCAGCCGGCACCGCTGAGCTCAGCCTCAGGGACAGGGAGAAGCCGGGCCCAAGTCTCTGGGGAATAGCACTCACCAGCAGGGACCCAAGTGAAGCCAGAATCAAAGTGCAAACCCACGTGGGTTCTCCTCTCCGCGATCCCCCCACCCCGGCTCAAACCAGGTTACAAAGTGTCTTAAAGAAAAGGGAGGAAAAGCCTGCAGCCTCCCCGGGAGGCCACTCGCCCCACGCCAGGAACAGTTCCCGCCCAGGGAGATCCCGTCCCTCAGACAAACACCACCTGCTATTAAAAGGCCCCTGGGTTTCCCTGGTCAGCCCTGCACAGAGACCACCTCTGGCTCTGAGATCCAGTGGGGGGGCGGTACTGTGCCATCTGCAAGGGGAGCGGGGTTCTGAGCAAGGAGAAAGGCAGGAGTCAGTCCTTCCAGAGTGGGCCTGGGGGCAGAGTCTCCCAGGCCGCACACACCAGCACAGGGACCACGGCTTCTCCAGTGCTCTCACCCCCGGAAGCACACAGTAGGTGCTTAACAGATGTTGGGTGAGTAAGTAAACTGACAAACCGTCTTAAGACTTGGAACCGAGCGTCTCCAGTCAGGCCCTCCTGGGTTGAAGGGGCCCTGAATGCAGCATAAATCCAGTCATCAGACCTTCTGGTCGCCCAGGGCTCCGACCCAGGTCCCCAGCGCTCTGATGCAGTGATGCCCGGGCAGCCCCTCCGACGGCAAGGTTCTCGGGCGGCCCACCAGGCTCTCTCGCCGGCAGCTCTTGCATCCCCTCCTGGTCCCCCCTGCACCCGCAGCAAACAAGCCCACCCACCCACCCACCTTCTGGCCCGTCTCCCTCAGACGGAAACCAAAGAAAACAAGTACGCGAACAACCCAGCTCATTGAATCAGGGCCCTTTATGTTCTGGGCACACAGTCAGCCTGGGGGGTGACCGCTCCTTGACTCACAGAGAAGGGGATGCCCGGCTCTGAGGCCGCTTCCCTCTCTCTGCTGACTTCTAGTTCTGGGGCTCGAGGTTGCTCGACATGGGAGAGGCGAGCCCCCGATTTCAGAGGAATCACTTCGTTACTAATGGTGGTGATACACTTAATCACTCCATGCCGGGTTTTTCCTATTTTCAGGGCACCTTAAACCCTCTGGGCCACTGGTCTGGAACCCTCGCTATCCAGACCCCTCTCCCAAGCCCACTTTCCTCCCTCCTCTCCGGGAGCTGGAGGCAGATCTGCCGCTCAGATCTCAGGCTCACCCCTCCCCTCTCCCAAGGGCACAGTTGCACAGAGCACCCCTCTCTCCTCGTGGCCTGAGCATCTCCATCGCTACTGCCCTCCCTCAGAATTTACACTGCTCAACCCTCTCGCATCTTTTATTTTAAAAAGTTATCTTTTGTTCCTCTGCCATCTTCACAACAAAATCTGACTTGTCCACAGCGGTCATTCCCAGCTCCCTGCCGCCCCAGCCCTTACCCCCAACCAGGCTTCTGCTCCCAGCAGCCACCTCAGGTGCTCACCTCAAGGACCTCAGGGACCCTTTCCACCCCTCTCCTGCTGGATCTAAAGTCTTGGAGGCTGCTGACACGCCTTCCTCTGAGAGTGACCCTCCTGTAGAGTCTGCGGTCACTTCAAATGTCAGCAGTCCTAGGGCTCTGTCCCTGACCACCCCCCAGAGACTGCACCCTCTCCCTTGGCCCCGGTTACCACCTGCAGGCTGACGGCCACTTCTAAACCCTATGCCCAGTCCCCCTTCCTCACCTGAGCTCCAGCCCTGCACACCCAGCCGTGTGCGGGCAGGGCCAGTGAGGGGCACCCACCCCAGAATAAACCCATCATCTCCCAGCCCATCCCCAATTCAAAACCTTCACGGCTTCCAGTGAACAGCCCCATCACACACCCAGGACAGAACACAGGGGGCCCTCCCAGACTCCTCTGGCCCTCCACAAGACCTGTTGACTCTACCACGGGAACAGCACTTAGAGCCTTCTTTCCTGCCACCGCCTCGTCAGCTGCCATTGTTCCTGGCCTGTGTCACAGAGGCGGCCTCCAGTCTCTCCCACCTACTCTCCTCACTGGGACCACGTGAACACTGTCCTGAGGCCGAGACATCACGTACAACCTTCCAGACGTGCTGGTCTCCTCACCCAGCCCCACTCCCAGCCGCCTGGACCATACTGAGCGACTGGCAGGCCTGTGAGCGAGTTCAGCTCTCTCACGTCCAAGCCTTGGCCCACGCTCTCCCTCCGCCTCCTGCACTCCTCCCATATTCCTTCGCCAGGTGACTGCAGCTCACTCTTCAGTCTCAGCTCGGAGGCTGCCTCCTCCAGGAAGGCCCTTTAGATTTTGTGAAAAGGGGTCAGATGCCCCTTCTGGGAGCTACCACAGCACCCAGCGCTTTCACGCCACCAAAGGACAGAAAGCCCCTTACTTACCTGCACCCTCCCAGGCTACGAGCTCCATGAAGGAAGACGCTGCCCCGGCAGTTCTGATGTTCCCACAATGCCTAGCAGGCAGTTGACTCTCCATAAGCAGGGGCTGAATTACTAAATGAACGTCTGACCCAGGTGGCCAGCCGTCCCCCATTATATGCAAATACTCCACCCTCCAGTCTGGAGGAGGAGGGAGGGGGGACGTGGTTGTTGGGGGAGGGGCTGGCAGGTCTGCCTCGGGCCTTGGAGGCAGGCTGGCCCAGGCTGCTCTGAGCTCTGGTGAAGCTGCCTAGTTCCAGGCGTGGGGTCAGGAAGCCACCTGAAAGGCAGGCCTCCTGGGAGCAGGAAGGCAGGAGACCCATCAGGGTGTGGCAGGGGCTGGTCTACTCTTGGGCACAGCTCACAGCTCCACACGCAGGCACCTGCCCCTTCTCTCTTGTTGGTCCTCACATCTCCATCTACCTGGGTACCCTGGCCTCACCTTCTCTTGTTACTGCTCCACACAGCCATCCAGCCATCCCTGGTTTACTTCCTCTCCTGCCCCCCCGGCCCTTTCTCCTTCCCCCAACCACCGCCTCATCCTCTCTCCTCCCTGTCTCAAACAACAGCTGCCCTCCTGGGTCTGGCAGCTACTTCCTCTGGGTTCCAGGTTCCCCAGGCAGATGGAGAGAGAGAGAGCTGGCCAGTCCACCCGGTTACCAGGCCCTCCCGCTGCACCCTGGCCCCACACAGCCACCACCCTCACCCCTGTGCCTCCGTCGAGGCCCCGCCGGGCTTACCCTCGGTCAGCCCCAGGTGGATGCTCCAGTAGATCTGCAGGCACTGCAGCTCCTTCTTCATGCCCCGCTTGCAGCGGCAGTCGTACAGCGGGCTCTCCTGCAGCACCTCCAGGGCCGCCTGGCACTCCTTGTTGGCCAGCATCGTGTTGCGATCCCGGCCCGCCAGGCACTGCCTCAGCGTGCGGTAGCGAGAGCTGCAGTTGGATTCGGCCGCACACAGCTCATTGGCCCGGACACAGTCCACTGGGGGGCGCCAGCCGTGGAGCTCGGGGCCCTGCAGGGAGGAAGGGCTGGCCAAAGAGCGGAGGGTCTCGTCTGGGTGGTGGGGAGGGAAGACAAGCATGAATGAGGGGCGCCGCAGGCTCCCACCCCAGAGGCAGGCCTGGGGGCTTGGGCCCTTCTGGGAGCATCGCACCCATTCTACTCGGCGTACATCGAGGCCGACTGAAGGCAGCCCTCCCCGACAGACAGAGGGTCAGAGCAAGGGCTGCTAAAAGACCCCACGATGCCACCATCCCTCCTCAAAGCCAAAGGAGGAAAGTCACTCTCTGCCCTGGTTCCACCTGACTCCCTGGGCCTGGGAGCGCAGCACAGAAAAGCCAGAGGCCCGAACAAGACCACAGACAGTCTGAGACGCCAGGAGGCCAGAGAAGGATGCCACGGCCTCAGCGGAGAGCTGGTGGCCTCGGCAGAGGGCTGGTGGCCCCAGGGCCTCCTGGGGTGCGCAGAGCGGCATCTCACTTTCAGAGCACCCAGGCCTCTTCCCGGCAACCTCAGGTCCAGCCGAGGTCCAGCCGAGGCACTGAGCTAAGCTTTGAACACAGCAGCAGATGACTTAAATCTGAGCCCGTTAGGCCCTTAGAGATGGCAGTCAGCCTGCGCCTGCACTTCACCCTGGGGAAACTGAGGCCCAAAGAAGGGAAATGACAACTCAAGGTCACACGCAGGCTGAACAGGCCCCTCTGACCCCCCAGTCTCTCCATCTGGGTTCCTAGAATTCATGAGGAGACGGGGAGAGACTACCTGACCCCATGGGCGAGGTGAACCCAGAGGGAGGCATTTTCCTGGGGGCCCCACCCTCCACACATGCCATTCCAGCAGTGCAGCCAGAGGCAGCACGCACCGCACACCATCCCCAGACGGTTCCACCCCAGCCCCAGCCCCAGGGAATGCTGCAGGCCCAGAGACTCCATTTCAATCCCCCTCACCTCTCTCCCTCTCTCCCTCTCCCATTATTTTTCTCTTTCTTCCTCTCCTCCCCATCCTCCCCTAATACACACTCCCCTCTGTCTCTCCTTTTTTTCCTTCTTCCTAGAAGCCGAATAATAAGTCAATTGCAAGCTGACCCTGGCCTTACACATGGAGCCTCACCTCCCCAATGGTGAACGAGCAAAACTCAGTCCACCCTCCTGACCCATGGCCCCAAATGTCCAAACCCACAGTCCCCGGAAGGGAAGGGGTCGGGGAAGGAGATTCGGAGGGGAAGGACAGGGAAAAGGCACTTGGTCCTTTCAAAAGCAAGCTCCCTAAAAGGTTTCCTCTAGACACAGACACCTTCCCTGTCCCCTGTCTTCTCTAAGCCCCTGGCTCAGATCCTGCCCCCAGGAAAGGGCCACATCACCACCCAGAGCCAAGACTGGCTTTTCCAAGATTCGAGGAGTGATCTGGGAGGCTTCCTCTACTCCACTCTGCCCCCAAACATAAAAAGATTCTAGGCAGAAGTCCCCCTTCCTCAGAATCCCGTAGATCCCCCCCCCCCCCATCTCTACCCACAGCGACCACTTCTCACTCCTTCCCCCCAGGAGCCCCGCTCAGGGGGCAGCTACCGCAGGGAGACAGCGACACCTAGAGGCAGAGAGCTGCACCGCAAGCCTGTCACCCGACAGCCGCTGAAGGGAAAGGAAACAGAATGGGGGCCTGGAAGGCCAGGCTACCCCAGGAGGAGAGCAGGGGGCGGGGCTGGAGGGGAGAAGGCCTCAGGGTCCAGAGCAAAAGATTTCCCTTCTCCCTCTGACCATACCTCTGCCTCGCGAGAGGAGGAGCTGACGGCTGTAGCAAGGCTAAGATCGCAGAAGAAGCCATCGTGGCATGTGGGCACAGACAGTGGAGCATCTGCTCAGGCGCAGGCTGGAGAAGAGTCCTCCACCCAAGCCCAGGCAGCAGCTTGATTGCCCGACTTCAGCAAATTCCTAGGTCCCTGAGCAGGACTTGGGTGCATCTGGGCCACCCAGAAGCAGCTGAGCTGACCCAGCCTCGCTGTCACCTGCTGCCCCATCTAGCCAGCCAGCTGGCCAGCCTGCTGGAGCCTCAAGACCAGCCCAGCCCTGGGTCTTTCACTGGCTTCACTCACCCCAGCATCCCAGCAGGCTCCTGACGGCCTGCCACCTTAGCTTTGCCTGAGGCTGCACTGTCTTAAGTAAAATGAGAAAGGGGCATCCTCCACAGGCTTAAAGGTCAGGAAGTTAGCCTAGGGATTTGGGATAACAGGGACCCTTCTGCCCTGCCCTACAGGTGGGGTCTAGAGCCCCAAGGGATGATCCTTACAGTATCCTGAGTGCCTGAGCCAAAAGCAAGGGCTTCCCTCATCCCGCCAGCTCCCAGGGCAGGGAGATGCTCTGCAGAGAGCCGGTGCACCTTCCGGCCAAACCCCCTGACTGCCACCTGTCTCTGACCCTTCTGGTTGGTGTCATGACCCCCAGAACCAATCAAGCCCAGCCAGAGAAAGAAATCACGGCGATGTGGCACCTTTGGCCGAGAATTCTAGGAGAGTAAAGGTTGTGGGACATCCTGGTGCTGCTCCCAATTCTAGGTCAGGAGGAGACTTAGATCCCTCAAGAAAAGCAAAGACACGTGGAACAATTTCTAAAGATGCAGGGAGACCACACAGAACCAAAATCCCCCTCATGCATCCAGTGCCCCCACAGAGCTAGAATGACAGTGGCGGGTGGGCCCTCTGACCAGCAAGAATGCTCCCCCATCACTTCCCCATCTCATTTTCTCTCTGAGCTTGTCAACACTGGAGGTCAAGAAGACTGGACCAGAAAGGCCTCTCCACCCCTAGACCTCACTCGGAAGCTGGGGAGGGGCACGCCAAAGGCCCTGGCTCCTAGGAACGGGCTTCCCTATACCCCCAACGCAAACGGCCCACCACCTCGCAAGCTCCAGAAAACCTCTCCTCAAAGTGGAGTTTCCAACCAACTCCTAACTGCGGGCTCCTCACCAGGAAAGGGCCCTGCGGCTGAAATTTCCTTAACAGCAAACCTCTCCCTTGATCTTGGCTGGCCTAATTCAGAGCCTGTCAGTGTCCTGTGGTCACCCAGTTAACCCCGCACCCCAGCTTCAGAAAGGGACTTCTCAAGGGAAGGGAACTGAAAGTCTCCAACCTAAGAGGATGCCGACCAACCCTCCTTGCTGTCACCCCGTCCTCTCACCAGGGTCACAGACACCTGGGAAGGCATCTCTGAACAGACCCCCGGCACACCCACACGTGCGCAGGAGCACAGTCACTCCTCGGCTCCCACAGCTGGAACAGGCTTGCCTGCAGCATGGGGGCAAGACAGGGCCTGGAGGTGACGGAGGCCCCCCTCCACCGCGCTGCTCTCCTCCACCCGGGGTCCTGGGAAGGGAAGACACCCACACCTGGGAGTCCTGCCGGCCAGGGGCACGTCCAGCTTAGAAGCAGGCAATCTAGCTGCTTTTCCTGAAATACAATTTTCTTTTCTTCCTGGCCCTGCTCGGTTTTTTTTTGGCCCCAGAAAGCTGTTTCCAAACCGGCAGTGGGAGAAAAGGTCAGGTTTTATAATAGCCCCTTCGGAGAGAGAGTCTTGCTTACAGAGGGTTGCTGGGAAAGGCTGCAGGAGCGCCGTGGACCCGGGGCACCTTCCCAGTTTCCTCCCTCAGCCCCTCCCACCCCGCTTGGCCCAGAGAAAAGCCACCTCTAGCTCAGGGAGGCAGGACAGTGAAGGCCACACCCTAGAGCAGGGCCTGGCCTCCTGGGGACCTGGGGCCTGCTCGAGGGGGAAGAAGAAGGGCTGGCAAAGGGCCCAGGGCCAACCCCCTGCTGGAGGGGGAAGAAGAAGGGCTGGCAAAGGGCCCAGGGCCAACTGCCTCAACTCGAATCCTCAGTCCTAGTCAGGAGGACACTTACTAGATGCCCCTCCCCATGTCTTTCAGTGACCAGCACCTAGCCCCCAGCCTCCCTTCTCCCCTCCATCAGAAGGAAAAGGGTGCCCTCATGCCCCAGCTGGGCAGCCTCACTCACCACCGGCTGAGAGGCAGACCAGGGTGGTGGGAGCAGCACCCACACTGAAGTAGCTGTGTGCTCCTTGGACCCACGCACACTGTCACCCAGCTCCCTCTCTGGAGCACCTACTAGGGCAGCAGCCTGGCCTGGGACTCCAGGTCAGCGCACAGCCTTGCAAACACCCCTATTCCTCACCTGCACCCTCAAGAATGCCCACTCTACACCCTTGTTTCCCCAGCAGCTGAGAATTCACATGGCACAAAAAGAGGGTAAGGAAGGGGTTGGGAATTTGGGGTGGGAAAGAGACTGACAGGGTTGGGGGCACCAGGCAGCCCCTCCCCTTGCCCTTTGGAGAGGGGGCTTATGGAATGAGCAGGGGTCTTTGTTCTGGTTAGATTTTTTTTTCCCTCACCCCTCTCCTTCACCCAAGGGAAGCAAACTTCGGCCTCCCTCCCATGTCTTCCCACCAGCCAGGGGGTCCCCTGCCCCCGAGGTGGCAAAGGGAAGGCAATGAACAGTGGCTGGAAACCCCCCACTCCAGCCCATTCATCTGGCTCGGGTCTGGGCAGGAGGGAGGGTATAGGGCGGGGAGAAACTTGAAAAGTGTTCCAGGGAGTGGAGCGGTTGAGAAGGGGTTCGGAGAGTGGGAAGCGGGGTGCGTTCTCCAGAGGCTGATTGGCAGGTGGGGGAAGGCTGCCAGCGCTGCCCCCACAGATGTCCAACCAGGAGCTCCTGGAGAAACCCATGCCCCCCACCGCGATCGACTAGGGGAGCCGCCGGGAAAGGGTGGGCTGGCAGGCTTTTTCTCTCCCCGACACTGAGCCTCTCCCCTGCTCTCTTCCAGATCAAGAGTTGGATTTTTTTTTCCTTAAGTTGCGGCAATTTGAACCCAATTATTTGGAGGCAGATGAGCGCTACCACTGCGTGTGAGTGAGCGAGCGTGTGTGCGGGGACGGTCTGGGTGTTCTAAGTCTACCTTCCCAATCCCCCGCGTAACCAGCCAGCCGCGGCTCGCGTCCCTCCGCCCGCA